CCAAATCATATTTCAGTTGATGATGCATTTGTCTATCACGAATTCTTGTTCGAACAGCCATCATATTGACGACATTTGTATGGATATCTGTGGAATACGTGAGATCGACATGTGAACTTCCGTTGCCTTCTCCTTGTTGGAACTCCAAAACATCATATTGAGTGTATTCATCTCATTCGTCTTCTACTATCATATTATGGAGTATGATACATTCTCTCATATTTTTCCAATTTTGACTTTATCCCAAAATAGTGCTGAATTTTTAACAATGGCAAAGCGAGCTTGCAAAAGCACGCTCAACGTCTTTTCGGATAGCTTCTTGACGTTGAACAAATAAAACTACTTTCGGCCCTGATGGTATAGAAATAGATTGGATAAAAGTTGATCATTTCAGATAAATACCATCGGTGAGATAGTAAGCCAAATGGTACTCATTATCAATGACCGAGAAATTTACTGACGGGGCTTGACCATTCATTATGTCATCAAAAACATGTGAGCGATCAAGAACATTAATATCATTTAAGGTAACTAGAAGTCCAAAAAATGCATGTCATATCCAGTGATCATATGAAGCAACTCTAAAACGATTGTGGATTTTCCCAAACCACGAGAATATTGCCCTTTCCAAACGGTGAGACAATTCTTTCACTCTCAATGCATACAATCGATGCTTCCTATCATCCAGAAAATCCATGATGCTCTCCAACATCAAGTAGACGTTGAAGATCAGCCGGTGTTGATCTTCTTAAGTACTCATCGCCGAACAAATATATTATTCCTTCCACAAAATTTCCCACACATAACCGAGTTGTTGTTTCACCGAGCCGGAGGTATTCATCGACCGTATCATCCGCAGAACCATATGACAAGACACGAATGCATGCGATACACTTTTGAAGAGGAGAGAGACTATTCTTTCCAAGACCATCTTTCATTTCCAGAAAGTATTGAACTTCGTTGGAGAGTTGATCAACAATGTGCATGAACAATGTCTTGTTCATTCTAAAACTTCGTCCGAAGAAATTTTCAAGAAACATTGGAGTTTCACTGAAATAATCATTACATAAACAAATATGCATTTCTTCACAATTTCTTTCGATATAAGCTCGTTTCTTTCTTTTCTTATTCGTTCTTCTTGATCACCACAAATGGTAAAATTATCAAACGCTTGATCAAAATGTTGATCAAAGAGCTCATCAAATGATTCATTTAAAGTGTTTTGAGAAGAAAAAGCCATAAATGAAGATTAAAGAGTTTTATAAACTTGTGATCAAGGAGAGAAAATAGAGAGACACTGAGTTTTATTTATAAAACTTGTGATCAAAGATAGAAAATAGAGATTTGAGTGTTTGTTTATAAACTTGTGATGAAAGAGAGACTTGAGAGTTTGTATATAAACTTGTTATTAATGAGAGAAAATAGAGAAGAGATGATTTTGGTGTTGTTCAAGTCATATAGAGAGAAGTCTAGAGAGAAGATATATATGAGAAAAAAGAGAGAATACAAGTCATATAAAGTGATGTAAGTGTTATTTAATATCCGACATACATGAGAATACTAGTCATATAGAAAGATGCTTTTGTGTTTGGTACAAGTGTTCTTTACAATTTTGTGATACATGAGAATACAAAGTGGACACAAGAATACACAAACATGTAAGAACCAACGACAAACAAGACCAATGTCTTTATGTCCATGACATTAGAACTTTTCAATGCTCCCACTACAAGACATAAACATGTGACAACCATAAGAAGCAGAGACAAATACATGTGAGAAGTTAAAACGCGGAGACAAAGAAGTACTTATCTTGAAGTTAAAACGCAGAGACATACGAGTATATGTCTTGAAGTTCAATCTTCTTGACCTGCAAAACAATGAGCAGAATCTTTTTAACACAAAAGCATAAACAGAATTTTAATTAAACATAAGCAGAGAACAACCACGTTTATGACATAAGAAGAGAGCATGAAACATAACAAGAACAATTACTCCTAATACAACAAAAATCAAACAAGTAGAAGATGACCAAGACATGACATGAAACAACAAACAACAAGAACATGACCGAGAGTTACATCAACTCATTGATGAGCTTCTTCTTGAGAGCTTCTTTATAATCAGCTAGCTTTTCCTTTGCAACAAGACTCTCAAGTAGCCTCATCTTGGAGAGCTTTTCCTTCATTGCCAAGTCATCCTTCTTGATGCTCCACATAATCTGGAAGTCAGACAGATCTTTCCCCTCAACCTGCAGCTTCTTTCCACGAGCTTTTGCAGCCTTAACACCCGGGGGACGAGATTTTCCATCTACAGCAGCATCGTTTTCATTGACATGAGAGCTTGCTGAATGTGAACCATCCTCGAACGTCCTCCTTTTGGAGCTGCTTTCAGTTTTAGTTGTAGCGAGCTCACACCACTTCTGGTGAAGCTCCTTCCAAGCATGTTAAAGGTTGAACTTCTTTTTATGGTTGTTGAAGAAGATTTCGTGGGCTAATTTTAGAACGTCATTCTCATTCATACCACTGGTTTTCTCTCTTGTGGCTGCTTTATACGTCCCACAAAATTTGCAAACTGCTTCATTCAGCTTGTGTCAACGTTGCTTGCAGTGAGGACCCTCTCTTTTTCCACAGCCAGCAAGCTTAGGACTAGCCGAGAAGTATGCTGAAACTCTTGTCCAGAAAGCGACTGACTTTTGCTCATTCCCTACAACGGGATCTTTTCTCGTGTTCAACCACGAGCTAATTAATAAGCACTATATCACCTGTTGGTGTCCACGTCCGTCGCTCCTTATGCGATCTGCTGGAAGCTCATGGCCAATATTTGGATCTTCGACACCTTCACTGCCTAAGAAAGGACCTTGTGATGAAGAGAGTGAAACACTTTCTTAACTGCCAAAGACAACATTTTGTTAACTATTAAGTAGTTCAACAAAATTTGCAAAATCCTAAAATGGATTGAAGTCGAAGTGAGTGGAGGAAGAGGAGAAAGATGAGAAAGATGAGAAATATGAGAAATATGAGATATATGAGAAAGAGAAGAAGGAACAAGCAATCGCATTCAGTTTTTGGAGATGGTAAAGAAAGGCAGAGCTTATAAATTATTCAAGAAAGAGAAGGAAAGAGATAACGCATTTAACACACCCAACCTACAAGACTAGTTGTATTAATCACCTTTGTAAAGTAATTAACTCAAGTGTAATGACTTGACATATATCTGACAACAAACAACAAACAATATTTTGTTCAATTTCAACTGACTAGAACCAGACTATCATTTATATTTATTATTGTGAGACAACAATAATCTAACCCTAAAGGAACCATTAATTACCAAAATTTTATTCAAACAAAAGCTACACAATTTCAATTTTAAAATTTTAACAACTAACATGAACCTTTTTCAATTTTTAAAAACTGACTAGATGAAACAGAGAAACATTAACCTGTATTGCTGCATACTCCTCTATCCGATGACCCTTCCTCAACACAAACTTGATTCATCCACCTAAACACAAAAATACCGAACATATCAAAATGTATTTGATCTAGACGACACAAAGACATGTCTAAGATTACCCTAAATTCTATTAAGACAGAAGGGACACCATTTCATTACAGACCAGAAGCTACACAACAAACAACAAAATTTGTAACAAAGACGTAAACATTGAAAAACCTTGAAGAACATGAAACCAAAATATGAAGAACACAAAGACATAAACGTAACTGAGCATCAATAGACAGAAACCAACACAACAAACAATAAAATTTGTAACAATCGATGCGGTAAAAAAATAAATTTTGATCCATCCATCTAAACAAACAAGATTTAGATTTATTCATGACACAACAAACAAACAAACATTGAAAAACCTTGAAGAACATGAAACCAGAAGCTTTACCTTTCGATTCCAGGAGAGCCACCAAGAACCACCGAGAGAGTGCTCTGTCGCCGTCGAGGAGATCCATCGAGAGACAGAATCAACATAATAAACAAATGAAACTTGCGATCAGACCAAGTTGAATCATAACCTGAGACATGCGTAAAGAACAAAATAACCGCTTTACCTTTTGATTTTCGGAGAGACACACAGAGAGAGAGGTCCATCGAGGAGAGTAATCGAGAGAGCTAGATTGTCAACGACAAGAGATAGAACGCCGACGAGAGCCACTAAGAGAGACGACGTAGAGAAGAGACGAGCCACCAACGAGAGGAATAGAGAGAGAGAAGTCCAAAGGATTCCTCGACGGGAGGAATCAAGAGAGGGAGAACACCGATGAGAGCTCGATCGCCGACGAGATCAACCAAGGGAGACGAGTGGGAGAGATACAACCCACCGACGAGACAATGAGAGAGAGAGAGAGAGAGAGAGAGAGAGAGAGAGAGAGAGAGAGAGAGAGAGAGAGAGAGAGAGAGAGAGAGAGAAGCCACGAAGGCCAAAATACTATATCTCCTTCACTCAGTCTTGTTGTAACACTTGTCTCTAAACAATGTTTCTTGCGAAACTTGTTTAAGAGACCTTTTTTTCTTTCCTATTTTTCATTTTTTAATGATAATTATGTTAAGATACAGGGATTAGAGACCCGATAAGGGTAAAGGGTGCTCTAAGAAAGACATGCACTCCCACGGACGCAAACGTTTCCACAGTTTCTAGGTAACTGCACGGCAAGTTGAAGGAAAAAAACCCTTTTTTTTAAGTGATGAGTCTCTCACATCAATATCATCCAACGTAAATGTAAGCAAATGGTAAATATAATATTTTTTAAAGTAATAAAAGTACACATTACAATGTATATAATGGCCATTGGCCCAACGAAAGAGTAGTTGCATGTAATTGGGCGGCAAGCGGGACGCAGGAAAGTCAACTACGACAGGATTGCTTTCAAAGTAAGCTAAAGCTCTTAAAACAGACAAGAGAAGACTTTCAGAATCTTGCAAACACGATCTGTTAGTAGTTTTGTAAGATTCTGACCTGAAATCAAAGAAGAGAAACAAGGATGCCCAACGCGGCTGAACTGGTGGGAGGTGGTGTTGTGGGAGCTGTTGCCTCTGAGATCCTGAAACTAGTGATTACAGAGGCGAAGCTGGTGTTAGCTTTCAAATTTGTGTCTAAAGAGCTAGCATCAACTATGGAGGACTTGCTTCCGATACTCACAGAGATAGAAGCGACGCAAGGTGCTGAGGATGTAGAGGAACTAAAGACTCTCAAAGATACGATCGTTAAGGCTCAAGTGTTGGTTGACGAGTGTAAAGGCGTCAAGAAGTGGAAGTCATTCTTAAAATCTTATTATACAAGAAGAGTTTATAAAATCAACATGAAGATGGTCAAGTTCTGTCAGGTTCAACTACCACTAATTCTGCTTAAGAACCAAGGGCGCTACTCCGCGCTTACGCTTGAGGCCTTTACTAATGGCGTCAAAACCATCTGTAAGAGGATCGATCTGATGGATGTTCGTGCGCACGTTTATAGGAAGTTTTCTTCAGTTCCCAAGCTTGATGATAAGGTTCATATTGGACTGGATTGGCCACTGATAAAGCTTACAAAGAAAGTCCTTGATGATTCCCTGGACCGTCTTCTGGTGTCTGCTTTTCCTGGATGCGGAAAGACCACCCTCGTTACTCATCTTTGCCACAACCAAGACATCAAAGGTATATAATATATGCTGTTAATTTGAGTCTCCTCCATCTTTACACCTGGAATTGTATATTTCTCATCATCTAAAGTGTTTTGCTTCCATTTGGCAGATAAGTTCAAACATATCTTGTATAGCGTTGTGTCAAGTACTCCTAACTTTAGGAAGATAGTACAAAATTTACTTCGTCACAATGGTTACGAAGAAGTTACATTTGAGAACGATCCTCAAGCAGCTAATGCCTTGATACATCTGATTGAGGAACTCAGAGAAGACGGTACTATATTGTTGGTGTTGGATGATGTGTGGCATGGAGCTGATGCTTTTCTTAAACATTTTTTTCGGATCAAGTTACCAGGTTATAAGATTTTGGTGACTTCTCGGTCTGACTTACCTAGTTTTGATTACACTTATCCTTTACAACCTTTGGATGAAAAAGATGCTAAAGCCCTTCTCGTTCACGTTGCACCGCCGCCTTGTAACGCGTCTCAAGCTGTCTATGAAGAACTTCTCCAAAAGGTATCACTTTTCATCTCTATATATGAAACCCCCTAACAATTTACAAATTTCTGTTTATGTGTGTTATATCGAAAGTTTTAATCCTAACCATTAAAATGGACGAGTAAGGACTAAGCCATTTCATAATTATATTGTGTTGGATCTAAATTTTATTTTATACCTATTTTAAAATACTGATTTAAATGCAAAACTATTTTAAATACATATTTTTTTCAAATTAACAAAATATTTGTTAATTATTAGTGAATTTTTCATCTTAAAATATTTATGCGCTTGCAGAGCGCGAATCAATACCATTTTATTTTAAATAACGTTATATTTCATCAAAAAAATTATATTACTTTAAAAACTTTAGATATATTATTAACATCAGAAATAACTAAACTCTCAACTAATTATTTTTATGAAAAACAATTGAGTTTGAATTTGATTTTTCACTTCAAACAAACGTACATAATTAATGTTTTCCCTGCACAGTTACATCTACGTAATACAGTGCTTGACACTATTAATACAAAAGACAGTTTTGATATTGTTCTTTAAGCATAAAATGAAATTGGACAAACTCGAAACTATATAAAACTAAGTTATGTAGAATACATCCAAAAAATAAAATTCACGCGGGTGCGTGGGTTATGATCTAGTATTTTATAAAACATAATTAAATAATATTAACTTGTGTTTTAGAGAAATATATATTATAGTTTTGGTGAAAAAATTTGGTGAGAAATTGATTTTGCGGATATGGCAGACACTTGTTTTGCTGTGAAAACCCGATACTGCAATTTCGACGAGAAAATTTGTTTTAGCTGGAAAAATAATTTTTCGGTTTTGGTGGGGAAAATTCATTTTTACAGAAAAACTCGATTTTGTAATTTTGCCAGAAAATTTGTTATAATGGAAAAAACTGATTTTGAAGTTTTGACGAAAGAATTCAATTTTAAAGTTTTGACAGAAAATTTGTAGTATCGAAAAAAACCTTTTCAAAATTTTTTTTTTTTTTTGCGATTTTGGTAAAAAAAAATAAAATTGATTTTACAGTTTGGAGAGGGTGGGGGTGGGGAAACTCAATTTCCTATACTCGAACAGATTTTATGTTTTATATATATTTAAATATTTTATAAGTAAAATTCCTTGACCTTCAAGTTTTAAGCTTCGGTTGTCATGTGTGTGTGAAGTTCAAGATCCATCTTCTTCTTTTTTTCAGATATTGAAACGTTGCAGTGGACTCCCACTCGTAATTGAAGTAGTTGGCGCTCCACTTAAAGGAAAACCCTTACATTTGTGGAAAGCTGGTCTGAAGGGAAAACAATTCTTCGTAATCCTCATCCTAGTCTGCTAGAATGTCTGGAGCCCAGCTTCAGTGCCCTGGAACCCCATCTTAAAGAGTGTTTCATGGACATGGGTTCTTTTCTTGAAGACCAAAAGATTCGTGTTTCCGTACTAATTGACATATGGGTGGAACTATATGGTAAAAGTACGCACAGTGTCGCATGCATGAAATACCTCTTTGACCTTGCTTCCCATAATCTGCTTAAACTTATTCCTCTGGGGTATTGTAACAACCCATTACCGGCCCAATTTTTTTTAAGAGACTAGTTGGTCTCCTACGGCCCAATTGCCCATAAACCCTAGGGTTTCCTGCAACTCACTATAAAAAGACTGCAGCCTCCTCCTTCTCTCTTATTTTTGCAAACTGGAAGCGAAGCTCTGCAGAGAATTCCCGGAGACCGGAAGCCCTAGCCGTCAGCCTCTCTTCTCTCTCTCTCGCCGCCCTCTCTTCTCTCTCTCTCCGCGCGTCTCTCTCTTCTCTCCCTCTCCTTGCCGCCTTCCTCTCTCTCTCTCCTCGCCGTGAGACGGTGGTGGTGGTGTGTGTGTGTGTGTGGAGATTCTCAGATCTCATCTCTTCCCCTCTTATTCCCAGATCTTAAATCTCTTGCTAAGGTGAGGTGATTCGATCCAGATCTGTTCTCATATTCTCTATTCTAGTTGATGGTGGAACTAGGGTTTGGTTAGTCCTTATTTGAAAGATAGGATGATAGATCATAATGGGAGTTAGGTTGATAGACGAATGGATCATGATGCATAAGAACCCTTGCACTGTTAAATGGGACTTAATGGACTGCCTTGTGTTGATGTGGATAATGAATGTCGTGAATGTTTGTGTGAATGGTGTGTTGTCCCATATGTTGATTGTGAATGGAAACTAGGTTGCTAGAGAAAAGTGAATGATATGATAACTCACGAATGTAAGTGTATCAATTGATGACTAGGGTGATAGATGTACATGTGATATNATATGTTGATTGTGAATGGAAACTAGGTTGCTAGAGAAAAGTGAATGATATGATAACTCACGAATGTAAGTGTATCAATTGATGACTAGGGTGATAGATGTACATGTGATATGAGATAGATGAAGGTATGATAATGTGAGGCCATCGATATTGATGCTATGTGAAGTGTATTGTGTGAGACACCGATAACGGGTGGCGTCTAGAGTTAAGTATGAATCTAAGTGTATGAGAATGAGTTGAAGTGAATTGACTATGAGAATGAGAATGATAAGGAGTATGAGTACGAGTATGAGTATGAGTATGAGTATGAGTACGAGTATGAGAATGAGTATGAGTATGTGAATGAGTATGAGAACGAGAAAGTGAATAAGACCATATATGAGAATGTGGTCGTGTCAATGAACTTGTTTGAAGTCATGTTTGGACCACCGAGAACGGGTGGGCGTCTAGAGTCTAGGATGTGTAACATGCGGGACAGTAGCCTAACACGAGGTACCCGCAGGGGCCCACGGGACAGTAGCCTAACACGAGGTACCCGTGGGCGAGAAGTGAGTGGCCGTGAAAGGACGGCGTACGCAGAAGAGACCTCTGGAAGGGACCTGCGGGATAAGAAATAGGCGCCTTAAGATCGAATCAAATATGGCTATTAAGACCGGGGTGGCAGATAGTGCTGGGAGCCAACGAGCTGCAACTCGGATAGTCATCTAGGAAGCTGTAGGGGGGACGGATTTCCCGAAAGAGGGCGCCCCTTCCAGGTTAGGCCGGAACGTGTAGGGACATCCGTAAACGGCCCTAGGTCCTTAAGTCTAGGTTGATTGATGAGTCTAGTTTATAGATTGTTTGCGTGATTGAATCCATGTGAAGCAATGACTGAGTTCTTGCGGTGTATAAATGTTAGGGTGTTAGAATTCCATGTTGAGATGTTGTTGTATGGTTTGTATGTTGCATATTGAATGTAGTGGCTGGTTGGTCCTGTTTCCGTATGAGGTAGTGTAGAGAATTATGCGGGCAGGCTGGCTAGAGTCACTTCACTGAGTAACCCCAATTGATCATCCCTCCATTTCCGTTTTCCCTATGCGCAGGACTGTATGTAGAAGTATGTGGATATGGGTGGATCGAATTTCATTAAAGATGCGTCCGCCGACTCCTGGGACCAGTAAGGACACGTAGGGTTGTCTAATTGAGTAGACACGTGTCCGTAACACCCGTTTGCTGAACCCCGGTCGGACGCCGGGGGAACGGGTTGTTACAATTGGTATCAGAGCGGGGGTTAAGATCCCTTAGTGTTATCCTAAGGGGTCAGCAGTTCAATGTTTTCAAAAGTTTTAAGTTCAATGTTTTCAAAAGTTTAATCGGTCTTGTTTGGAAAGAGAATTATCATGATTGAGAATGTTTTAGAGTATTTTAAAAATGTGAAATGATTTCAAAACCACCCAGTGTATATGTACTTCGATTATGGTTCTGATTAGATCTTTATTTCTGGATGTATTCACTTGACCAATACGAGTGGAGGATGTTGCGCATGCATTACGGGCGTAAGGGGGCAGTCAGGAGCATGCCCGTAAGCTTCATCACGATGAGGAGGGTAACTGGTGTTGCATATGTTCTCGGATCCTGTGGAGAAGTTCAAGGAGTTTTCGTTCGGGTTTCCTCATGAGCAGACAGTAAAGCGTAAGGTGTTGATGCCACCTTTCCAGAGGATAGCAATGCAGAATCGCATACTGCGAGGTCATGTGCAGTTCCAACTTTTACCCGAGAAAGCATGGCCGCCCATGAAAGATGCCGAGTGATGTTGGGGAGCCTCCGAGAGTGTTCACCGGGAAGTGTCAGTGTAGGACCGTGCTTCAAATTGCTCAGGAAGGTCGTTCAATTGCTGGATATACAGAGGACTTCTTCGACCAAGCTAAGAGGGCCAGCTAAAGACTGCGGAAGAAGGGTGTCGATTATCTAAGGCTGGGCTACGCAAGGACATTCGTGATGAGCTCAATTGTGTACTGGAACCTCTGGAGGTTGCGCTGGTAAAGAGGATGGTTGTACAAGCGATAGCTGTGGAGGAACAGATCGCGTAATGGAACGAGGAAGCCGATGATGGTGTTGTATATGAGCTGGAGCCATGATAAATCCTTCGGAGTAATTGTGAACCTGCGTTTTCTATCAGTGTTGTGCTGGTGGAATTTGAAGGACTATCATACTGGAAAGTGATGAACCACGCAAAAATAAAACTCTTTAGTGGAGATGTAGATTCTACCAACGTCAACGACTAAGAAGAGGATTGAATTCAAGTATTGTTGTGGTCAACAGAACTACATGGATCGTAACAAGTCAAGAGGAATGAATGATGAGAAGAACGAGTTTGGGTAAGCTTGAATGTTGATAAGGCTAGGGCGTTATGACACAGTCGATGAGGTTGTATTGAAGTATGATGAGGTGCCAGTTTGGCGTGCCGGTTTGGCGAGTGCCGGTTTGGCGTGCTGGTTTGGCGAGTGCTGGTTTGGCAGAGAATGGTGATTTTGTGTAAGACAATGAAGCGTACATGTGGTTAGCTTGGGAACTTGCGGATTAAAGAGAATAGGGAATCTTGTTACATAAATGCTAGAGTTAGGAAGAGCGGGAACTTGGGGGAAAACTCAGCAGTTAGCGACATACCATATACATGGACATATGATGAACGAAGTATTAAAGAAGGACTAGCACTGGAACAAGATGATAAAGGGTTGTGGTTTCAGGGATTCTATAGTGGCTGAAAGTTAGCTGAGAAAGGCAGAACGATGAATCGATGACGGATTACTGCAAAGATTACATGTTCTACAATGGAGTGGGGACGTCGTAACATTGGACATTATTTTCTGATCGCTAAAGACATGGTGCTAAAAGCGTGTGGCGTGCATGTATGTATGGTTGGTTAAGGAAAGTGGAGAAGATAACTACCAGTAGTGGAACCTGTGTACGATAATAACTACCACTCGAAAATAGATATGTCCCCATACGAGATTTTGGTGGGATGTGGGGTTGGAATCCCTTGTTGAAACCCAAGTGGGGGAGAGCTAGGGGCTATAGCCGGGAATTGACCTAGGAAGCTACTAAGCAAGTGGAAATATTTGATGGGAACTAAAAGAAGCGCACAACAGTCTAAAGGTTAAACCGACAAGCGCAATAAGGATGATGGAGGATCTCTTTGGGGTAAGAAGATTGATGTTCATAACGGGATATGAGAGCTTTCTCAGGCTAATGTCTACATATCTCACTAAAGAGCCAGGGTGGGTGATCGCAATGACTAAATGTACCGTGATGGAATGAGACATATGGAGGTACCAGTACGAGGCTGAAAGGAGGGATCATGTAGGCTCGATCGAAAGTGGGGGAGATCTGAAGTTCAAGTTGAAAGAGACCCAAGGACTACGGAGCAAGTAGAATAGTTTGAGATGGGCTAGGAGGATCCCAAGGCTGCCACCGGATTGTGCCAAGAGATACCTTTGGATGGTGGGACCCACCGATGTGGGGAGCCCGGACCGAACTACAGCGGGCATATAATCAGAATAGCGCAGCGGAAGCGTAGTGGTAAACCGGCAGCACACCACAACGGATGTTCTCACCTCACGACGATACCACATGCGAATCAAGTAAAAGATCATAGAAATTCCCTAGGTGATAATCCGAAGCCAGCAGCGGGAGTGCGTCTTACCGTAGCTATCAACCGGGTATGGAAAAAGTTGGTGAACCACAGGAAACATCGACTTTAGAAGGAGGGGGTGAGGTACAACGGATAAGGGGCCTCGTATGGTTAGTAAGCTGGAAGGGTTCAGAGATCGACATTAAGCAAGTGATGCGTAATGGGCACTTTGTTGAGATGCTGTGGTGGGAGTTCCGACGCGCAGAATTCTGGGACGAATTCTATTAAGTGGGGGAGATTGTAACAACCCATTACCGGCCCAATTTTTTTTTAAGAGACTAGTGGGTCTCCTACGGCCCAATTGCCCATAAACCCTAGGGTTTCCTGCAACTCACTATAAAAAGACTGCAGCCTCCTCCTTCTCTCTTATTTTTGCAAACTGGAAGCGAAGCTCTGCAGAGAATTCCCGGAGACCGGAAGCCCTAGCCGTCAGCCTCTCTTCTCTCTCTCGCCGCCGCCCTCTCTTCTCTCTCTCCGCGCGTCTCTCTCTTCTCTCCCTCTCCTTGCCGCCTTCCTCTCTCTCTCTCCTCGCCGTGAGACGGTGGTGGTGGTGGTGTGTGTGTGTGTGGAGATTCTCAGATCTCATCTCTTCCCCTCTTGTTCCCAGATCTTAAATCTCTTGCTAAGGTGAGGTGATTCGATCCAGATCTGTTCTCATATTCTCTATTCTAGTTGATGGTGGAACTAGGGTTTGGTTAGTCCTTATTTGAAAGATAGGATGATAGATCATAATGGGAGTTAGGTTGATAGACGAATGGATCATGATGCATAAGAACCCTTGCACTGTTAAATGGGACTTAATGGACTGCCTTGTGTTGATGTGGATAATGAATGTCGTGAATGTTTGTGTGAATGGTGTGTTGTCCCATATGTTGATTGTGAATGGAAACTAAGTTGCTAGAGAAAAGTGAATGATATGATAACTCACGAATGTAAGTGTATCAATTGATGACTAGGGTGATAGATGTACATGTGATATGAGATAGATGAAGGTATGATAATGTGAGGCCATCGATATTGATGCTATGTGAAGTGTATTGTGTGAGACACCGATAACGGGTGGCGTCTAGAGTTAAGTATGAATCTAAGTGTATGAGAATGAGTTGAAGTGAATTGACTATGAGAATGAGAATGATAAGGAGTATGAGTATGAGTATGAGTATGAGTATGAGTATGAGTATGAGTATGAGTATGAGTATGAGTATGAGTATGAGTATGAGTATGAGTATGAGTATGAGTATGAGTATGAGTATGAGTATGAGTATGAGTATGAGTATGAGTATGAGTATGAGTATGAGTATGAGTATGAGTATGAGTATGAGTATGAGTATGAGTATGAGTATGAGTATGAGTATGAGTATGAGTATGAGTATGAGTATGAGTATGAGTATGAGTATGAGTATGAGTATGAGTATGAGTATGAGTATGAGTATGAGTATGAGTATGAGTATGAGTATGAGTATGAGTACGAGTATGAGAATGAGTATGAGTATGTGAATGAGTATGAGAACGAGAAAGTGAATAAGAGCATATATGAGAATGTGGTCGTGTCAATGAACTTGTTTGAAGTCCTGTTTGGACCACCGAGAACGGGTGGGCGTCTAGAGTCTAGGATGTGTAACCTGCGGGACAGTAGCCTAACACGAGGTACCCGTGGGCGAGAAGTGAGTGGCCGTGAAAGGACGGCGTACGCAGAAGAGACCTCTGGGAGGGACCTGCGGGATAAGAAATAGGCGCCTTAAGATCGAGTCAAATATGGCTATTAAGACGGGGTGGCAGACAGTGCTGGGAGCCAACGAGCTGCAACTCGGATAGTCATTTAGGAAGCTGTAGGGGGGACGGATTTCCCGAGAGAGGGCGCCCCTTCCAGGTTAGGCCGGAACGTGTAGGGACATCCGTAAACGGCCCTAGGTCCTTAAGTCTAGGTTGATTGATGAGTCTAGTTTATAGATTGTTTGCGTGATTGAATCCATGTGAAACAATGACTGAGTTCTTGCGGTGTATAAATGTTAGGGTGTTAGAATTCCATGTTGAGATGTTGTTGTATGGTTTGTATGTTGCATATTGAATGTAGTGGCTGGTTGGTCCTGTTTCCGTATGAGGTAGTGTAGAGAATTATGCGGGCAGGCTGGCTAGAGTCACTTCACTGAGTAACCCCAGTTGCTCATCCCTCCATTTCCGTTTTCCCTATGCGCAGGACTGTATGTAGAAGTATGTGGATATGGGTGGATCGAATTTCATTAAAGATGCGTCCGCCGACTCCTGGGACCAATAAGGACACATAGGGTTGTCTAATTGAGTAGACACGTGTCCGTAACACCCGTTTGCTGAACCCCGGTCGGACGCCGGGGGAACGGGTTATTACAGGTATGTTGTAATTATGTCTCTTTGCCACCTTTTCGTGCCATCTATCATTTTCTTGATGAAACTTGTTTATTTGCTTTATCAGGAGAAATGAGCACGAAGATGGTTTCTACAATGAGCTCGTAGTCACTCAACATGATGTCCTGAGGGAGCTTGCTACCTATCAAAACAAAGAAACAAAAAGACTCAGTTTGGTGATACAAGGAGATGACTATCCTGACTTGTCTTTGAGTCAAAAAGAGTCTTCCCGCTTCCTCTCTATCTCGACAGGTCCTTTTTTTTAACATAGATTATATGTCCACTGTTTCTATAATTACTGAATTTCTTCCTATAACTCAATATGCTCGTTACTATTTTTGTATGTTTTGTTACAGATGACTTGTTCTCATCGAGTTGGGAGGATATGGATTCATTCCAGTTCCCCAATGTTGAGGCTTTACTTCTTAACATCTCTTCATCAAACTATGCACTACCAAGCTTCATTGCTACAATGAAGAAACTCAAGGTTGTGGTTATCATAAATCACGGTTCTGATCTTGCATCGTTGACCAACTTATCCTACCTCAGCTTGTTAAAGAAGCTGAAACGGATCAGACTAGAGAAAGTTTCAATCACTTTCCTGGACATTCTCCAGTTGCAACTCAGCAGTATCAAGAAGCTGTCTTTGTTTATGTGTTGTTTCGGTGAGGTTTCACATGACAAAAATGAAATAGATGTCTCTAAAGCTTTGTCGAGCTTACAAGAGATGGATCTAGACTACTGCTATGATCTCGGTGAATTACCTAACTGGATCTCTGAAGCCGTTTCATTGGAGAAACTTAGCATCACAAACTGTCATAAGCTCTCTATGCTTCCAAAAGCTATAGGCAACTTGAGTAAGTTGGAATTGCTGAGGCTGTCTTCTTGTATTAATCTCACCGAGCTGCCTGAAACTATTGTGAGACTCAGCAACCTGCAGTTTCTGGATATTTCTCATTGCTTAGGATTGAAAAAGTTACCTCAAGAGATTGGGGGACTCTCGAAGCTGACAAAGATATACATGAGCAAGTGTGGGAAATGCAAATTACCGTATTCAGTGAGGAATCTAGAGAATCTGGTGGTGAAATGCGATGAAGAAACTGCTTTGGTCTTGTGGAAAGGGTTGCAGCAAGAACTAAGAAACTTGACAATTCAAGAGGAGGAAACAGAGCACAACCTGAACTTGCTTCACATGTTTTAAGTTGTGAGTGAAAGAACATTTTCACCAGTTTGTGTGTGTCTTGTAATGTTGTATTTATTCGTCTCACATCATCCAAATGGAAGTAATGTTGTATGCTTCTGCTTTTCATTAATGAAACAGTATACATTACATATTTGATTTTGAGTTTTCATCGATATAAATCTACTTCACTACGTTTCGATATTTTTTTTTTTAAATGCTACTACTCTATATCATTATAGAATATAAAATAGTATGCAGTGCAGTGCGAAGGTTTGTAATAACATTAGACAACTTTTAAAATTAGGGATTTTTATATATAGCAAGGAAACAATGTTTTAAAAAGCACCAACTTAAGAATCGATCAAAAACCTAATAAAACACACTAAAATCACTAAAATGGTTGATTTTTTTTTTTAGCAAAAAGGGATTCCTAAAACTTATAAACACTTGGGGGCTTGAGGCGATTACCTTTTTGAATACGCAGCAAACAGGCCTCTGATAGTATGCATTTGAAAATATGGTATATATATATTCAATTATAAACTGAAGGATCATATAAAAAACTGCATGAACTCTATGCACGCAAATCGGAAAACACAACTCCAACGTTTTATGTATTAGTTATATATTACTTAGAGCATGAACAGAGTGCTTATTTTTTCATTTTTTTACTTTTTTCGTTTTAAAAAAAAAAAAAATTAAAAGTACACCAATCGCGGGTCGCCACGTGGCATGGGGCCCGCAAAACAGTACAAGCTCTGCTGCTTATACAAGCTATTTTGGCTGCGATGCTTGTTCTCTTTCCCTCTTTTTGTGGTCCCCCCTTGCTAAGCTCCCTTCCTAAGCACCTGCATTGAACCTGCTCTTATGTGTTTAGGCACCATATTGACTGATTGACTGATGTGTTAGGGAAAATTTTAAAGACAAAATAGGAAGCATGTGGGAGAGTAGAGTAGGTGATTAAGCATCATAGTTTTTGAATTGATTGATAAACAACAACCACTAATTAATAATCATTTGGATTGTCTCTTAATCACTAGTATTTGATATAAAATCAAGCGACATAATTATACAAGAGTCAACCTGAGCTAAACCAATTCGAACATGTGGAATATATCATGATAATGGACTATCACATGCTTTTTCTACTATATCGTTTCTATCTTGCTATTTTAACTAAAATCAGCCGTTCTCTTGTAGAGATTTCAAATTATAGGCATTTTACTTCTTCTTTTTTTTTTTAACTACGCATTTTTTGCTAGACAGAGAAAAAAACACATACGTATTTATGTTGAATGGGGCATTATACATAAAAAGGCTTATTATATGAATGGGCCGGTTCTAACGAGACACATTCCCTCTGCCGAACGACTTGCAGCGCGTGTGAAAGATAAATAGAGTAGAGAAACACGCCAGGCGAAGACTCAAACTCACAGTTTCCCCTGCAAGTCAATGCCTACAAGGTTGCTTTGCTAGTAAGGTAACGCCCCTCTCAATCCCGTCGTTCGTTCGTGAAAAAAGAAGGATGGCCGAAATGATTGGGGGAGCTTTGGTCTCGGAGGTTCTGAGAAAGTTGATTAAAGAGGCAAAGAAGTTCAAAAACTTCAAACCCTTGTCCGAGGAACTCGCATCAACCATGGAGAGATTGGTCCCGTTAACCGAAACGATCGATTCTTTGCAAAACAAGCTGAACCTTGATGTTGGGGAACTAAAGGGACTGAAGGAAACGATAGAAAGAGCAGAGATTGCGGTTGGTGAATATCGAGACATCTCAGGCTTGAGGAGATTTAAGCGCACAAGAGAAATCGAGCAAGTGAATAAGGATATGCAGAAGTATTGTCAGATCGATGTACAGCTTCTTTTGTTAAGAAACCAGTTGCAGTCTACGGAGGCCAATAATAACAATTTCCAAACCGTCTTTAAGAAGCTCGACCGATTGAGTGCTCCCTCGCCCGTTTTTAGGCAGCTTTGTTCGGTTCCAGTGCTGGAAAAGGTTCCCATTGGATTTGATTTTCCATTGATGGAGCTCAAGAAGAAGCTACTTGATGCTGCCGTGGTTAGACTTGTGGTGTCTGCTCCAGCCGGGTGCGGGAAGACCACGCTCGTTACTCACCTTTGCCACGACCATGATATCAAAAGTACAATCTTCTTTTTTAAAACTTCTTACATCTGGAGATTGTTGTTATATATACAGTGCTTGCTTCCCTTTGGCAGGGAAGTTCAAACATATCTTCTTTACTGTTGTGTCAAGTACTCCTAACTTAAGGCTCATAGTACAGCATTTACTCCAGCACAAGGGTTACGAAACAGTTACATTTGACAACGATACACAAGCAGGTAATGTCTTAAGAATACTACTAGAGGAACATAAAGGAGATGAAGATATATTGTTGGTGTTGGATGATGTTTGGTCGTCTGGAGCTGAGTCCTTTCTTGAGAATTTCCCTACTGACATACCCAACCTCAAGATCTTGGTGACTTCTCGGTTTGACTCGCTTGGTTTCGGTTATAATTATAAATTGAAACCTTTGGAAAAGGAAGATGCCAAGGCCCTACTCATTCAATGTGCATCGCCTCCTGATCACGCATCTGATGCTGAGTATGAACATCTTCTCCAAAAGGTATTATTCTCTATTGAGCCTTTCCTTCGGCCATCTCTAATATTTTTGTGAATGTTGCAGATTTTGGAACGATGCCACGGATTCCCACTGTTGATCAAAGTAATAGGCGCTTCGCTTAAAAACAAATCTGTAACTCAGTGGAAAGGCCAAATCATAAGCTGGTCTAGAGGAGGCACGGTTCTTGATAATCCTAGTCGTGTTGTGATAGATCGTCTGAAGCCTAGTTTCGATGCTCTAGACTCCGATCTCAAACAGTGTTTCTTGGACATGGGTTTGTTTCCTGAGGACCAAAAAATCAGTGCCTGGATGATAGCAGACATATGGGCTGAGTTATATGGTAACGGTATAACGGATAAAGAACAATTTATCTTATCTATGAAATACCTTGAAGACCTTGCCTCCCATAATCTTCTTGATCTTCTTCCTCTCTGGTATTTTTTTTAATAAACAATTATGTTTTATCTTAACCTAAAGTTTTCAAACTTGAGTTGCGGAGCTTATTATACATCCAGGGAAAAGGAGCACGAAGATGGTTTCTACAATGAGTATTTTGTCACTCAACATGATATCCTCAGGGAGTTGGCTATCCGTCAAAACGAATCAGAAGGAATCCTGGAGAGGAAAAGACTGACTCTGGAGATAAGAAATAATAGATTTCCAGACTGGTGTTTGAATCCAATACACCCTGTTGTTGTTAATGCCTCTCTGCTGTCTATCTTTACAGGTAACTGTTTACTCTTCATGGTATAGAACTGATACTTCTAGAAATATGATTATTTTATTTTTGTTACAGATAATGCATTCTCATCACCATGGTTTGAGATGGATTGCCCCAATGTTGAGGCTTTACTTCTTAACATCTCCTCCTCAAACTATGCACTACCAAGCTTCATTTCTACAATGAAGAAACTCAGGGTTGTGATTATCAGAAATCACAGTCCTTATCTTGCAAAATTGACCAACTTGTCCTGTCTCAGCTCTTTACCGAAACTGAAACGGTTCAGACTTGAGAAAGTTTCAGTCACTTTTCTGGACATTCTCCAGTTGCAACTATGCAGTCTTAAGAAGCTCTCTTTGTTCATGTGTCATTTCGGTGAAGTTTGTCATGACACAAATGAAATAGATGTCTCTAAAGCTCTATCGAGCTTACAAGAGATGGATCTAGACTTCTGCTTAGATCTCCGTGAGTTACCTAACTGGATCTCTGAAGCCGTTTCATTGGAGAAACTAAGCATCACAAACTGTTTTTGGCTCTCTATACTTCCTGAAGCTATAGGAAGCTTGAGTAAGTTGGAAGTGCTGAGGTTGTGTGGTTGTTGTAGTCTCTCTGAGCTACCTGAAACAACTGCGAGACTCAGCAACTTGCAGTTTCTGGATATTTCTTATTGCTTAGGATGGAGAAAGTTGTCTCCAAAGATTGGGAGACTGAAGAAGCTGAAGAAGATCTCCATGCAGCGGTGTTCGAAATGTGAACTTCCGGATTCAGTGAGGAATCTAAAGAATCTGGAAGTGAAATGCTATAGAGGAACTGAGTTGGACTTGCGGGAAGGTTTGAAGCCAAAAAGGAAGAACTTGAAAGTTCAAAGGGAAAAACATTGCTTTTCATCTGATATGGAATACTTGATTGTAGTGTGGAACCTGGCATGTTGTTTATCTCAATAGCATGTGTATGTCTTGTAATGCTGTCTATTGTCTCATCTTCCCGATGCAAATATAAATAATGTTGTATGCTTCTGTTTTTACTAACAAAACTGTCTACGTAACGTATTTGATTTTGAGTTTTCATCGACAACCTCAACTTGCTTCAACTGTTCTTATGTGAATTTGTGTTGTGTGTGGATCAGTGATGTCTTTAAAGTTTGTAAGAAGAATAAAAAAATATTAATTGTAACCATCTCGATAAATATTCATCCATGTGGAGTAATAGCAGATTATTGCAGAGGAGATTCCTTTAAGAAGAAGGTATTACCTTGCCATCATATTCCTGACGAAGTAGCACCTCTGGTGCAATGCAAGCAGGAGTACCAACAGTTGACTTTGGCTGTGAGTGAAAACTGAACTCTATTAATTTCAAAAGTTGTGTTTCTTCATTGCAGATAAACTTATTTCTTTTCAATGAAACGGCTTCACAAACCCAGTTAGGTAACTCAGGGAGATCAACGCAGTACTCAAAGGTACGATGAAATGTTGTCTTCTTCTTCCATTCTCTGTTTAAGGTAATATACTAATATGTGTCTTTGCTTATGCATTTATGAAAAAAATATTTTTTTAACAATGTATAGACACAAATTTTAAAACTAATACATTTCAGTTATTGTTTATGAAAAGGCACAATCTTAAATATCAATTGAATTTTAATTATTAATTCATCTTTTATAATGGTAAGAAAAAACTTTAAAAACTTATTTTAACTATTTGTTAAACTAATTTATTTATGATAATGAAAGGATACAACTTTTAAATCTAACATATTTCTTTTTGAAAAGACACAACTTTTCTTATAATGAAAATATACAACTTTTTTAAATTAATATAGTTCAGTTTTATATTAAAAGATACAACCTTTCAATATTAAATGAAATTCTTATTATTAATAGATATTAGTTTTTTTACAATAAAAAGATACAACTATTAAAAAAAATAGAGTTCAGTTTTACTGAAAAAAAATAATTTTATTTGTAATGAAGAAACAAAACTTTTGAAACTAATAGAATTCCATTTTTTTTATAAAAAGACATACTTTTGTAACAACGTAAAGACACGAATTTTTAAAACTAATACAATTCAGTTATTTTTTATGAAAAGACACAATTTTCAATATTAATTGAATTTTTTTTTATAATGAAAGAGACAACTTTTAAAACTTATTTTGACTAGTTGATAAACTAATTTATTTTTATAATGAAAAGATATAACTTTTAAAACTAACAGATTTTTTTTTTGAAGAGACACAACTTTTTTTATAAAGAAAATATACAACTTTTAAACTAATATATTTCAGTTTTATATAAAAAGATATAATTTTTAAAATTAACAGATTTTTTTTTTGAAGAGACACAACTTTTTTTTATAAAGAAAATATACAACTTTTAAACTAATGTAGTTCAGTTTTATATATAAAGATACAACCTTTCAATATTAAATGGAATTCTTATTATTAATAGATATAATAATATTTTAAACTGTAATTTAAAACAGTTTCGAGAAAGTAAATGTTTATAGTTTGTTACCATCAAGGAGTACTGTTAATTTTCTATTTATGGAGAGGCAACTGAATCGATTTTTTAGTTTTCTTTTTAGTTAAAAACACAGATCAAAACAAAGGAATGCATAAGAAAAGGCATGAAAACAGTTCTAAATTGGACACATACATTGTCAAAAGACCTGAAAATAAGGTCTTCCACAAACCATTAAAACCCACAAGCTACCCTTGTAAGTATGTGTGTATATATACCACTTGTCCGCCTCCACAGAACATCACAAACTAAAAGAAAACCCCTCCTCTTTCTTGTTCTTCAAAACAGCTTGAAAGGGAAAAAGGTTTTACTTTCCTTTTTGTTCTCTTGGGTTTGATTCACCATGGCTACTGATATTTCATGGGAAGAAATAAAAAACGAGAACGTTGATCTTGTTAGTATTTTATACAATTTTTTTCTTGACAAATTAATACCTTGTATCCGAATATCACATTGAAACTTAACACATGGGTTTTATTTATTACAGGAGAAGATTCCAGTGGACGAAGTGTTCCAGCAGCTAAAATGTTCAAGGGAAGGTCTGTCATCAGAGGAAGGAAGAAACAGACTCCAGATCTTTGGGGCCAACAAACTGGAAGAGGTGGTGGAAAACAAATTCTTGAAGTTCTTAGGGTTTATGTGGAATCCTCTTTCATGGGTGATGGAAGCAGCAGCCATCATGGCCATTGTGTTGGCCAACGGTGATGGAAGACCACCGGATTGGCAAGACTTTGTTGGGATCATGTGCTTGCTTGTTATAAATTCCACCATCAGTTTCATTGAGGAGAACAACGCAGGTAATGCAGCAGCTGCTCTCATGGCCAATCTTGCACCTAAAACAAAGGTATTGAGAGATGGTAAATGGGGGGAGCAAGAAGCCGCAATCCTGGTTCCAGGTGACTTAATCAGCATTAAGTTGGGTGATATTGTTCCTGCGGATTCTCGTCTCCTTGAAGGTGATCCTCTTAAAATCGACCAATCTGCCCTTACCGGTGAATCTCTTCCAGCCACTAAATATCCAGGAGACGAGGTCTTCTCTGGCTCCACTTGTAAACAGGGTGAGATCGAGGCTGTTGTCATCGCCACCGGTGTGCATACCTTCTTTGGCAAGGCAGCTCACCTTGTTGACAGTACTAACAACGTTGGCCATTTCCAAAAGGTACTTATAGTAGTCTCTAATATTTTTTTCCTTGCCACGCAAGCAAACATTTTAAACATTTGTGTCCCTTTGAATTTTCCAGGTCTTAACCGCGATTGGTAACTTCTGTATCTGCTCAATCGCAATAGGAATGTTGATTGAGATAATAGTAATGTATCCGATCCAGCATAGGAAGTACAGAGATGGAATCGACAACCTTCTTGTGCTTCTCATTGGAGGTATCCCAATAGCCATGCCAACTGTTTTGTCAGTGACAATGGCTATTGGATCTCATAGGTTGTCTCAGCAAGGTGCCATCACTAAGAGAATGACCGCCATTGAAGAAATGGCTGGCATGGACGTTCTTTGCAGCGACAAAACTGGTACCCTGACTCTCAACAAACTAACTGTTGACAAGAACTTGATTGAGGTAATAACAATCTCTTCACTTTAATTGATATGGTGGTATATTCAGAGCCGGATTTGGACATAGACTATTGAAATAAAGGCTTTTTTTTTGTGAAACCCTATTGAAATAATGGCTTTAACCCCCAAAAATGTGAAAAAAAAACAAATTATATAAGAGTCTTAAAGAAATATATGGTCCCCAAAATCTTAGTTGGGGCCCTGTATATTTAATTAATTAATCTTGTGGGTTCATCAGGTTTTCACTAAAGACGTGGACAAAGATACAGTGATACTACTCTCAGCTAGAGCTTCAAGAACAGAGAATCAAGACGCTATTGATGCATGCATTGTTAATATGTTGGGTGATCCAAAAGAGGCAAGAGCTGGAATAACCGAAGTGCATTTCTTGCCATTCAATCCAGTTGAAAAACGTACCGCAATCACATACATTGATGGTAGTGGAGAGTGGCATAGATGCAGCAAAGGTGCTCCTGAACAAATTATTTCCCTCTGTGAGCTTAAAGGAGAAGCGTTGAAACGAGCACATGACATCATTGACAAGTTTGCCGAGAGAGGCCTTCGTTCTCTCGGTGTTGGACGCCAAAAGGTTCCTGACAAGGACAAAGAAAGCCCCGGAACACCGTGGGAGTTCGTTGGTCTTCTCCCACTCTTTGACCCTCCAAGACATGATAGTGCAGAGACCATTAGACGAGCTCTTGATCTTGGTGTCAATGTTAAGATGATCACTGGAGACCAATTGGCTATTGGTAAAGAAACTGGTCGCAGGCTTGGGATGGGAACTAACATGTATCCTTCCTCTTCTTTACTCGAGAAGAAAGATGATGCTACCGGTGGAGTTCCAGTGGATGAGCTGATTGAGAAGGCTGATGGTTTTGCTGGAGTCTTTCCTGGTAATTTAATTTAACAAACCTCTTTTTCTATTTTCTCACCAATCAGATTTCTTATAAAAGTTGTATTGATATTTGTATAGAGCACAAGTATGAGATTGTAAGGAGACTCCAAGAAAAGAAACATATTGTTGGAATGACTGGGGATGGTGTGAACGACGCACCAGCACTGAAAAAAGCAGACATTGGTATAGCAGTGGATGACGCAACTGATGCGGCAAGAAGCGCTTCAGATATAGTCTTGACCGAGCCAGGTCTTAGTGTGATTATCAGTGCCGTGCTCACCAGTCGAGCTATCTTTCAAAGAATGAAGAACTACACAATCTATGCAGTTTCCATCACCATTCGTATCGTCCTTGGCTTCATGCTTGTGGCTCTCATTTGGGAGTTTGACTTTTCACCCTTTATGGTTCTCATTATTGCAATCCTTAACGACGGGACCATCATGACCATTTCAAAAGACAGAGTCAAGCCTTCCCCAATTCCTGATTCATGGAAGCTTAAAGAGATCTTTGCTACTGGTGTTGTTCTTGGAACATACATGGCTCTCATTACCGTCCTTTTCTTCTGGCTTGCTCATGACACTGACTTCTTTCCGGTAATAATTCAATAATATTAATAAATATGATATGAACGCCTTCAATAGCAAAAATGTCCACCATTCAGTAGATTTTTTTTTTAAAATGAAAATCTAATTATTTTGGTGTTGGTGAATGTAGCAAAAATTCGGAGTAAGATCATTAAAAGGTCAACCAGAGGAGTTAATAGCAGTTTTGTATTTGCAAGTCAGTATAATTAGTCAAGCACTCATCTTTGTGACTCGATCAAGGAGCTGGTCCTTTGTGGAACGCCCTGGATTTCTTCTTCTTATTGCATTCCTTATTGCTCAACTGGTATGTGATTTGGATCAGTACAGTACATATTATGATATATAAATTACTCTTATAATTTTTCTCTTTGACAGGCTGCAACCCTCATAGCTGCTTATGCACATTGGGAATTTGCGAGAATCAAAGGGTGTGGATGGGGATGGTGTGGAGTCATCTGGATTTACAGTATCATCACATACATTCCTCTTGACGTACTCAAGTTCATTACCCGCTACATCCTCACTGGCAAAGCTTGGAATAACATGATTGAAAACAGGGTATGTTATAAGCTTTGATTTTTGAACTACATAATTTACGCATATGTTGACTTTCTTTCCATTTTTTTAAATTAAAGACTGCTTTCACAACCAAGAAGGACTACGGAAGGGGAGAAAGAGAGGCCCAATGGGCTCTAGCTCAACGTACACTCCATGGACTTAAACCCCCGGAGTCAATGTTTGAAGACAAGGCAACCTTCTCCGAGCTCTCTGAGATCGCTGAACAGGCTAAAAAGCGTGCAGAAGTCGCGAGGTATGTAAAATGATCACTCGAAAGATTCATCACTAACTTTTTTCCTACAAGATTGGTAAGTGTTGTGTAGCGTTTTGGTGCATGCAGACTAAGAGAAGTACACACTCTCAAAGGCCACGTGGAGTCTGTCGTAAAGCTTAAGGGTCTTGACATTGACAATCTCAACCAACACTACACCGTCTAAGCCAAACAACAATGATTTTTTAAGCACAGACGTATGGCGATGATTCGATCAAATAAAGTTAAAGAAAATAGCTTTATAAAGATTAAAGATAAGCAAGTTTGGTTTTGGAATGTTCTTCTGTTTTGATTTCATTTCTCTTGGTTACGAAATGATATCAATAGTGAGATTCTTCATAGCTTAAGGATAAAAAAAGAAGCTGGGGACAGGATTGACGAGTGAGGGAATAAAGTAAAGAAAGGAGGCACATCAAGAGTTATGTAATAAGTCGTTATTCTATTATTATTATTTTTTGTTTTATTTCTATTCTTATTTTTTTGTTATGCTTTTGTTATGTTTTTTTTTAATAAGAAAGTGAGGTTGATGGTGATAGAAATAAAAACATTGTTAAACGAAAATCACAGAGTATAATTAAACATATGAATATACAATGTCTAAAGAAAATCCAAATCTTAAAGATAAAATGAGTGGCAAAATGTATGTGTAGTGATTGCAAATACTCAAAAGTTAATAGTTGTGAAGTTTGGACGAAGGCAATAAACTCACACCACCATCCTACATCAATAATGAATAATTAATCTCATATGCCTATAAATCTTGACAACAAAAACAATTTAATTACACCAATGTGAAAAATAATGTAAAATACTGTACTGTTCTAACCAAACATGGACACAACCTAATAAATTTAGAAACAAACTTCTTCATAAATATTTTTTACAAAGTTTTTAGTCCCACCTGCGGTTTTCCCTTAGTTTTATATATATATCTACTCTATTAAAATAGAGTCATTTTTTATCTACTAATACAAGTTGTCATTTAATTTTGGACACTTTCTAAAGTGTTACAAATAATACAAAACATATAGTTAATTGAACCGTATTACTTGGTTATTTATGAGATATAGTCTTGGGCTTTTTTTTTGTTTTTAAAACAAATTATATGGTTTGGTTTTGGGCTTAGTATTAAGGAAAATTCCAAAAAACATTGAATATAACTTTCCACCTTACTAGATCAAAAAATCAATTATTATTTTTAGCCCCAAAATTTAATATTTTTAACAAAACAAAATTATCTATTATTAATCATTAATTTAAATCATGTATTTTAAAACATGTTAATGTATTTTTTTATTTTAAATAACAATCACTTTTTTTGATAAATTTCAACGGTAAATTTTAAATAATTTATTGTTTTATTTTTCTTAAATAATTTATAGATTTAAAAAAAATATATGTAAAGCAAAACCAAAAACTAACTCTTAAAACTAAAATCCAAACCAAAAGCTGAAAACGCAGGTTATATTTTTTGTTTTTGTTTATTTACAAAATAAACTATTGCAATTTTTTTAAAAAAATTTTTTTTTCATATTTTCAGCTTTAAATTAGATGTTTGATTATTTGAGATTTGTTTGTTGGTAATATCAGTTCAAACTAACTCAACGGGTCTAAAAATTAAAAAACTCAAACCAAAACCTGAAAATCAAAAATATAAACTTAAAACTAAAAACCAAAATTTTAAAACAAAATCTAAAATTAAAAAAATGAAACTAAAAACTAATAAAAAACAATCATCACCACAAACTTTGGTGAATTGATTTTATACCAAAAAATATTTAAATTAAAACAAAACCCAGTTATATAAATTTTTAATCATAAAAAATTTTCGCGATTTCAAGCGCGGATCAAAATCTAGTATTTGTTAAGATCTAGATTCACAAAGATCTCATAACTTTTGGGCACGCCACAATAAACACATGCATGTGTTCAGATTCAAAGTCTGAATTTCAAACGTTAAGAACAATAAGAAAACCCACTAAATGGCGAAATAATAAAAAATAAATTACACACTCGTGTTTTCAAGCCTGGCGTGAGAGTTTATATTTCCCACAATTATTGTATTAACCAATAATGACTGATACCACTATTAAATGGCACATGCAATTTCTCCAATTGCACATAGCTCCGTCAAAATAAGTCAACTTTTTCTTTTGAAAACGTGATTTTGTAAAATAAATAAAAAGGCTCTCTCGAAATAAATAAAACTATAAAAATGCGAAAGAGAACGAAATGATCGATCTTTAAGGTTTGACTACGCGGTTCTCAAGTCGTCTGTCTGGTATAATTGGTTTTGGAAAAGAAAATATATTTTTAAAGAAAATAAAAGATGCTTTTAAACAAAAAAAAAAAAAAGAGCGATCTTTAAACTTTCTTTATTACTCCCTCCGTTTTATATTAAGTGTCGTTGTAGAGAATTTTTTGTGTTACAAAATAAGTGTCGTTTTCGGTTTTCAATGCAAAATTTATTAATTTTATCATGTAATTTGTTTTTCTATTGGTTAAAATATGGTTAGGTGTATGGGTAATTGTGTTTTTATATAGGAAATATGTAAAATTAATTGTTTCCTTAATCCGTGTGCATAGCTGTAGAGTGACACTTATATTGAAACAGAGGGAGTAATAGGTACGAGTTTTGTCTCTCACTCTCACCACAAAACCATGAACTCTTACTTGTTCACTACCTTCATCTTTGCCGCCGTCATCTCTCTCGGTTGCTCACGCTCAACCAGAGCTGCCACGTGTCATCCCGATGACGAGGCGGGTCTCTTAGCTTTCAAAGCGGGCATAACCAAAGATCCTTTGGGTATCCTCAGCGGCTGGAAGAAAGGAACTCACTGCTGCTCATGGATGGGTGTCATCTGCATCACTGATGACCGCGTCACCGAACTCAGAATATCAGGATCCAACGTCCTTGGCGTAGGTTTCCTCTCCGGAACCATCTCACCGTCGCTGGCCAAACTTGAGCACCTCGAGGCTGTTTCCTTCACCTACCTTCTAAATATCTCTGGACCTTTCCCTCAGTTCCTTTTCAAATTACCAAAGCTTAGGTACGTTACCATCAGAGATAACCATCTATCCGGCCCGATTCCAGCAAATATCGGTACGCTAACCGAGTTGGTAGAGCTCGATCTCGAGGGAAACCGGTTAACCGGTCCAATTCCGAGTTCTATATCCAATTTAACCCGGTTAACTTGGCTCAATCTTGGCGGGAACAGCCTCTCTGGACCCATCCCGGACATTTTCAAAACAATGAAAGAGCTCCGTCTTCTCGATCTCTCACGTAATGGATTCTATGGGAAACTTCCCCCGTCCACTGCATCACTTGCACAGAGTCTTACATCTCTATATCTGAGCCAGAATAATCTCTCAGGGACAATCCCTGATTATTTCTCAAGATTCAAGGCCCTTTCCACGTTTGATCTCTCCAAGAACCGGTTTACTGGAGTCGTACCGATGAGTTTTACCAAGCTGAAGGATCTTTTTCATCTCAAACTCTCCCACAATCTCTTAACCGGCCCACTCCCCGCCTTGAATCCGGTTAACGGCATTGCCTCTCTGGACCTATCCTACAACAAATTTCAACTGAAAACGATCCCACAATGGGTGACTTCGTCACCGTCCATGTATGACTTGAAGCTGGTTAAATGTGGTATCAAGATGAACATAGAAGATTGGAAGCCAGTGAAAACCAAAGATTTTATTTACATGGATCTTTCTAAAAACGAGATCTCAGGGAGTCCAGCAACGTTCTTGAACCAGGCGGAGGCTCTGCAGGAGTTCCAAGCATCGGGAAACAAACTCCATTTCGACTTAGGGAAGCTGAATTTCACCAAGTCGCTGAGAATCTTGGATTTGTCAAGAAATCTGGTCTATGGGAAGGTGCCAGCGTCCGTGGCTGGACTGAGAAAACTAAGCTTGAGTCAAAACCATCTTTGTGGAAAGCTTCCGTTGACTAAGTTTCCGGCCAGCGTGTTCGCCGGCAACGACTGTCTCTGCGGCTCTCCACTTGCTCCTTGTAAGACTTGAGCGGCAAGAAAACTACAACTTTGTATTTGGATACAATGATACACATAGGTCCAAATAATAAGATTTGTATTAAATAAATTTGAAAGATTTGTTTTACAAACATTTTCCCAATAACTCTGAAACACTCGTACATATTTTTTTTCCGTCAAAATGTCACATCTCTTATATATTAAAAGAAAAACATTACAACATTAGAATCATGACACGTGTTATCATTTAAATGAATTTGAGAATTATTATAAAAAATAAACTGGTCCATATAAATACAAATTATAGTTTTCATTAAAGTAATAATAAAATCTCTTATTAATATTAAAAAGTTATTATCCATTCTTAAATAAAAGCTACGAAATTACTTAATGTGCTTAAAATATATATAGAAATTAATGATTTTCAATAATAAAGATTTGTTAACAATTTGTATACATTCTACCAGTTCTGTTTAAATCTTTGTTATTAAAATAAATTACACAATAATATTAACCATATAATAAAACTTTAGATTTTTTCATATATGTTGTATTTTGAATTTTTAAAATGGGTATAAATTACTAAACTGTTAAAAGTCTCACATAAACTTTTTGTGATCATTAGTTTGAAGTTTTGTTATAAGATACAAATAATTGTAAAATACATGAGTAAGAAATCTTCTTTAATATATTCATATATATATATATATATATAAAGTAAATTACATACCATATAAAAATGCATATTTATATTTTGATAGTTGCATTGAAAAAATATTGAGAACCTAATATTGTACTTTTAAAATTTGGATTGAATTTTTAATAGTTCAAGATTTTGTTATAAGAAATATTGTTAATTATAAAACCATATGATTAGAAAATTCATTTAATAAACACCATATTAAAATATATTATATGTATGTTAATATCTAATATATGATGGATAAAAATTGATTGTTTTGATTTATTTACCATAAAATGATTGTTAATAAACAAGAGTGATCATTTGATTTAAATGTACACACAATTTTAATTATATACATAATAGTAATTGACTTCTCAATTATTCAATATATTTTTTTTATTTTAATATTTCATAATATGTAGAGAAATATAAAATAAATAATAATAATACAAAAATATAATTTGTATATAAAATATTTATCATACGCAAAACACGAGTCTTAATTCCTTTATTATTAAAAAGGGATCAAAATAAAACAGAAACCTTAAAATTGTACAATATTTACGGAGGTGCCACTGGCTGATGTGTCACAACTAGGGGTGGGCACAATTACTTGTTACTCGGCTTGTACTCGCTACTTGATTCGTACTTGGCTCTTAAAGTCGAGTACTCGTTTTGTTCAAGTCGAGTATCAAGTCGTTTATTTCAATTACTTGCAAGTACAAGACAAGTACCAAATACTAAAATAAAAGTAACTACTTGGCGTTGTTGGCTTGTTACTCGTGATTTATTACTTGATTTATTATCCGTTTTTTACTTTTAGACATAAAAATCTCTAGATTAGAATCAAATTACTTGTTTCTAAAAAAATGAATTAAAAATGATATATAATAGAAATATTTAAGAGTTTTCTTTTAATTTTATATTTATCATATATCGATTTAAAACATATGAAAAGTAAATAAATATTCTTTAAAATTGTTTAAATCATAATTATAACTAACTAAATATTTTTAAAATTCATATACAAGGTTTAAGTAGCAAAAATTAATAAATTATTATTAAATAAAATTCATATACAAGGTTTAAGTAGCAAAAGCTAATAATTATTATTAAATAAATTAGTTCAGAAGCAACAAGTAGTAAAATAGAGCAAGTACTTGCAAGTATATCATTTTTTAGCAAGTATTTGAAAGTGCAAGTACTCGTTTTTAATAAACCAAGTACAAGTCCAAAATTTTATTACTCGAACAAGCCAAGCCAAGTACCAAGTAGGCCAAAAATGGCAAGTACTTGGCTTGTGCCCACACCTAGTCACAACGAGAGCGCTCCTCAGCCTCTATTTAGAAATGCTCACCCCAACCTAATGTATTTACTAACAAATGCCATTGGACTGACTTTTAAGCATTGATGCAGCCAACCTTATACTCTGAATATCGAGCTGGCACACATACATTGCAGACCTACATTCCCTTATCTAATTCCAAGCAGCAGTTAAACATATCATATATATATGAGTACGAAAATGAATTCTCATATATGTCATATATTGCTTTGAGAAAAATATATATAACAAAGCTATGAAGTGAACAATATTTAACTCTGTACTTTTTTCAAGATATTAATACAAATATTCTTCTTTTTTTTTGTTTTCTTGGGACAAAATACTAGTAAAAATATTCAAAAAACCAACGGACTAAGTGAAACTTTGCTATACAGCGTTACTTTTTATTATTATTATTTTAATACTTTGACGTTCATGATTAGATGCTGCATACTTGATTTCCATGGAGTATTTCAAGTTAACTAATACTTAAATAACTAGCTAAATCAGACTTTTCCACTAAAAGTAAAACTAATGAAAGAGTAATGTGGCTAGTACAAAATACTACATTAGAATAACTTAATTTTGGAAACTTCGACCAATCCTAAAACTATACAATATTCTAAACTACATATATGTTCAAAATTATTATTGTAGTTTTAAGTTACAATGCAATTAATTAGATTTGGTAGTAGTTTAGGAAAATTAATTAATTTCGGCAAACAATGCATAATCTTTGATTATATCTCTCTCAACGCAAAATGTGCACTCCGTCTATTTCATATAAGTGTCATTTTAGCTTGTGCACACGGATAAAGGAAACAATTAATTTTGCATATTTCTATATAACAAACCAATACCTATACACCTAACTATATTTCAACCAATAGAAAAATAAAATTTATAAGAAAATTAATTAATAAATTTTGCATTGAAAATTGAAAACGACACTTATTTTACAACGAAAAAATTCTCTATTGTGACACTTATGAAACAGAGAGAGAATTAAGTTCCTTGATTTATATACACATATTACGGAAAATTTGTGTGTCATTGCGCCTTACAAGAAAATCCTTAGACCAACTCCATCGGGAGTCCTTAGAGCAGGTTTCAAACAAATAAATGCAAAAAAATTAATGAAAAAGAAAAAGAAAGCGCGGAACCGGTCTTTAATTAGGGATTTTAAGGAATGGTATGAACCCCTCTTTTCTTCTCTCTCCTTCGTGGTATCCGTCGAAATCCCCTCTTTTCTTTTCTTCCTCCTTCTTCGATCTCTCTAGCGATCTTTTCGTTTTTTTACTTGTTCTCTTCAGTGTTTGGCAACAAGGAAGCTCGTATCCTCGTCCTTGGTCTCGACGATGCTGGAAAACCCACGATCCTCCGTAAAACATCACTTCATCCTTCTCATTTAGTTTGATTAGATTGGCTTTTGTTCTGTATGAATTTGAATTTTGATTACAGATTGGTTTCAGATGGGGGAAGTTGTATCCACGATTCTGAGTATGTACTGATCTCATTGGATCTAGTTGATTCGATTTATGTTTGTGATAATTGTTAACTTGCGATTGCTATTATTGGTTTTCTCTGATTTGCAGCTATTGGATTCAACGTTTCCTAAGAAAAATGTGCATTATTTGTTTAGGACTTTCCATGTTGACTGGATCCATGCTTAGCAGATGATTCAGTGACACATTTGAGTTATTGGAATGTTTTTCTATGGATTATTTTATTGAGCTAGTGATCAGAAAATTCCTTGACTTGAACCTCTTAGATTATATATCTTTCATGATGATGAGTAGCTGCAGTTTATGTTCCATGATATTTGCCTCTTCTTACTGATCAGACATTTAAGAATTCAGTGTATTTGGTTATGGGTTGACAAAAATCTCTGTATTTTTCCAAAAAAAGGATGACTTTGATTGATACCATGTGAATTCAGTGTATTTCGGTTACTTATTGTATATTTTGGTTAATTAATGGTTAAAGTATATTTTTGCAGAGTACTTGTGACATAGGAAGACTCCTCAAAATAACATGAATTTGCTTTGTGTCCGAGATCACTTTGTATGTCTCGTTCACATGATCACTGCTTTGATGTTAAAGTGTGACGACATGTGAAGAAGACAGTAGCTATGCAAGTTGTGTTTTCTTTGTTTTTATAAGAAGAAGACAGTAGCATGTAATGTATATATGTTTCCTTTGTTTTTTATAAGCAAACTAACACCAAATAGAAAAAAAAATATTAAGAACCCCTATGAAAGATTCTAGGGCTGGGCAACCGGTGTACCATTCGGGTGTCGGTTCTATCTGAACCGGGTTCGGGTTTTCTTGGTGAACAAAAACAGGCCCCAATCGGATAATATTTAAGATCGGTTCGGTATCGGTTCGGGGGCTAAACGGTTCGGGTCGGGTGTGGTTAACTGTCGTGGAACCGGTACAACCCGGAATACTTTCGGGATCGGGTAGAAATATGTATTTCGGTTCTTTAAGTATACCATTTGTAGCGATTGTAACCAATCCATTCACAATAATTTTGTAACTTGCAAGACAAGTAAACTAAAAAACAGAGTAACAAAACATTTGTTAACCAAAAATCCCTAAGCAAATACCTGTTTTCAAAGAAAGCATAATCATATTCAGAGAAAACCATAACATTATTGATAGCAGAGTTTAAAACTTAACAACTCAAAGAATCCAAAAAAGCCAAAGCCATAACATTATTCAAACTTCAATGAAATAAAAATCAAATGCAAAAAACTTCAAACACCATGCTTCACAACCTTCACACGCCTTGATCTACTCCTTGCTTCGAATTTGAAGCTTCAATCATCAAGCCTCTGTGCTTGAAACTCTGCAACATAAAAACAAAGCAGAAGAGAGGAGCTTAGCAATAACAAATACAGTAAATAAGACAGTCTAAAGAAACTAAGGAAAGAGATATACATACCTTTCTGAAGTCGATCAAGCATCTCCACATCAGCGAGCATTTGCTCATTTGTAGCCACTTGCGAACTCACCTTGATATCAGCATGCATCCATTGCTCGGTGCACATGAGAACTTC